CAAACGTAGCAAAAAACTTACAAAAAGTAAAAAAACGTCAACATCAAGACACTATGATTTTGTGGCTTTCAAACACAATGAAACTAGTACATATTCTAAAACAATATAGTGGAGAACCAGCCTTTGCTAATGATAATACATCCAAGCAAAATTCTCAAGCACTGCAAAATTTTGATTTGGCTGATTATCGTCAAGTATTTAGCGATCATGCTGTGATACTTTACCAAGTAATTAAATACAAACACATTCAATTTTTAAATTTAAAATATAAATAATTTAATAACTTAATATTAATATTTAAAAATTATCAACTCTTAATATAAATACTTAAGCAATGTTGTTGAATACTTAATTAAAGGATTTGGTTCAAAAAATGCAAGAAAGGATAAGAACATTAATAGTTCCTGCTTTATTAGAGCATGACTCACTTGGCATTGATATTGGTAGAAACATTAGACGTAGTTTAGGTTCATTGAAATCAAATTCAACACTTTCTAGTCCAACTACAATTACTTTGGAAAATGAATTAAATACTATGTATAGTCAATTATTAGTTCATGAGATTGATCAAGAAGTTATTGTACAAATATTCAAACAAGTAATTTTTTTTTTTTTTTTTTTTTTTTTTTGTCTTATATTTTGATAAAAAGTAATAATAATTTATAAATTGTGATTTCAGCTTTATTATTTCATGTGTGCCACTGCATTAAATAATTTATTACTACGTAAAGATTTGAGTTACTGGGCTAAAGGCATGCAAATTCGATTCAATTTATCACATATTGAACAATGGATAAGAGATAAAATACTTTATGTAAATACTTTATTTTTCTAATTAATTATTTCTTCTAAATTTTAATTTTAATTATTAATATATATAGCCACAAGATATTGTTAATACATTATTGCCAATTATTCAAGCATCACAGCTATTACAAGCAAGAAAAACTGAGGATGATGTTAACAGTATTTGTGAAATGTGTGATAAAATGAATGCAAATCAAGTAAGTACTTATTTTCTTTAAATTTTATCATTTATGCTTATATTGTCTATTGAATAATTTAAATAATTAAATATATATTATCATATTTCTTTAATTTCTATACTGTAATGTATAATTTGTGAGTAAAATAATTAATAAGGGATTACAATAAAAATATTGAAATAGAATATTACCAATTTTTTTGACTAATAACAAATATGAATATTAAAAGTACCTTAAATTCAATATGCATATTAAATCATAAATATTCCTACTTTTATATACATCTTCAAAATCAATCAACATTTATAAAATATAATAAATATTTTAAACAAAACTAAATTATTTTAATTTTTTAGATTATTAAACTTTTGACATCATTTAAACCTACTGATGATTGTGAGGAACGTATATCCATGGATTTCATTAGAAAAGTTAAGGATAAGTTGGAAGAACGGCCAGAATGCCAAGACAAGGTAATTTTGATTTAATGTTTAGAGAAAATAATATATATATAATATAAGAAAAATTAATGATCATTATTAAGATATATATTTTAAGTGATATAAGATATAATAGTTTGTGAATATGTTAGGGTTAGATAGTAATTAAATTAAAATACTTCTAACAATTTGCAAGTTAATTTGTATAGCTTAATTGCCTTACTAATTTAAAAAGTTACAACCAATCCCAGTCATGTGTGTCTTAGAAATATCTCATTCTTTGACTAATTAATCATTAATCTATATAAATTAATTCTTTATTTTTTTAGGAAAAATTATTGATGGATACTAAGTATGTTTACCCAATAACTTTTCCATTTCATCCATCCAATATAAGACTAGAAGATATAGAATTACCAGAGTGTCTTAATTTAACTATGCTAAAAAAAATTTAATTAAAATTTACATTTTTCTTTTTAAGATAATTTTTAAATAATATTTATTTATGTCATAAATTTGTGAATTTGAATAAATGTGTATATTTAATTATATAAATATATTTATGATTTTTGGATTTTAAAAAACAAGGCTGTGAAAAATCAAAACCCATTTTATTTTATTTCTTAATCATAATATATTATAATTTGTTAATTTGAACAAAAAATTTATCTGTAATAATACAATTTTTTGATAACAAAAATTTAGGTTTTTTATGTATAAAAATTAATATTATGTTGTAATAATAATTATTATTTAAAATTTTATTAATTTGTTGAAAATCTAATTGTTAAAAATTTGCCTAAGATAGTTTTATTTTTATTTTAATCTGTTTATATAGTTTATTTACAAAATGTGTTTTAATAATGATATGACATAAAATTTAATTTATGTATGTTTATTTTAAACAATAAATTTTTTTAAATAGTCTTCCCATTTAGAATGAGTAATTGTGTTGTATTTAAGCTTTTGAAAAAAAAATACTTTGCAAAATTTAAAAAAAAAAATACATATGTAATAAATACCATCAATTGTCGCATCATAACACAAAAGTTAACAGTTTATATTTTTATTTTATAATATTTACATATTAAATTGTTAATACATAAATAATTATTTAATTGTATAGAATAATTTTAAATTTGATGACTTTAGTGCCATATATTTTTTTAAATAAACTGTTTTTAAAAATTTGTTTTTTGTTTATAAATAATGAAATGTAATAGTCAATAAGTGTACTTAGTGTAGCTACTATTACTTTTTTGTAATAATAGTAATATTGTTAAATTGTGAATATTTTATTGTATTGTTACCTATTAATTTAAGTTTAATTTTATTGTTATTTAAGTAGAATATTTTACTTTTGAACAAATCAAAATAATCTTAAAATCTTATTATATATATATATTATATTTTTTATTTTAAATTATATTTGTAAAACATAATATTCAAAATTTATTATATTTTATTTTAATAACAAATCATGTGTTGTGGTTATAAGATGGTCAATTTTTTTTTTTTTTTTTTTTTATCAATTTTAGTTTGAAAATAATTTTTAATTTATGGCTATTTTAAAATAATGTTTAATATTATCAATTTTGTTGTTGTTTTTGCGCATAACAGAAAACTGTATAGTGACATATCAAAGTATTTGAAAATGGTAAGTACACTTCCATGCAAGTAGACAAATTTAGGTATTACAGTTTTTTAATATTAGTGTATAACTTTCAATATCATATGTTGATAACTTGCCAGGGTCTGGTATATTTTCAATTGTAATATAGTAAATAAACGGTTATAGAATATGTAAGTTTTTACTATAAATTTTCCATAGTCCATATACTAACAGTTATGTCTTAAACTTTTTATAGAATATAGTAAGTAGGTTATTACTTGTTGATAGTTAAAAATTGGAACTCAATAACAAATAAATGATAATTGTACTAACACAAAGTTGTCTGTCCAAGTCTGAATAAATCGTAGGGCATATGTATGTATGATGTGCATAACACTATTTATAATTTTATAGTTATAAAGTATATTATAAGTTCCAAAAATTACATTTTGTTTAACCACATTGAAGAATAAAAATTTGGCGAGCATGCTTGTTGAATCTTCTGATCGCCTCATATATATATAAACATAATAATTCTTTTAATTATTCTACAACTTAGATGTGATTAAACATGTAAAAAAGAATTTACGAATAGCAATTGCTAAGTGATGAGTGTATTTTGTAATATATTAATACGATAAGACAAAAATTCTTTAAAAGGATTGTTATTGTTAGAGATTTAGTGAATCACGGCATAAATCAATGATTACTTTTGCTCTATTTCATCAAATATCCATTTAAAACAAAAAACATTTCTACTTGACGCAATTACGATTAAGTTAATATTCAAATGTAAAATAAAAAATTTTTATTAAACAATTGTTGTTATCATATAAAAACTAGAAGCAATCTACTATTGATTTAACAATGTTATTTCAGACACAATATAACTTTTAAAATATTTAGACTAATATTCAATTTTTTTTGTCATTTGAGTTTTTAAAATTTTATTCATGTAAATATTTCAAAGTTAAAATTGTATCAAAATTTAAATTTTAGTAACTTAGGCTTGAAATTCTATATAATTTAAGCCAATTTTTATTGAACATCATGTACATTAGTGCACGATAATTATCTTCTTTGTCCAATTTACATTGGAAAAAATTAACTTTGAAAACTAATCATGGTCGAGATTTTATGGTTCGGAATCAGAAAATTGTTATCATTAAAAATAAATTATTAATTTATAACTTAATCATAATCTAATTTCTAGAACATAATATTAAAATAATATAAAACAAAATAATAATAATTTTATTCAATTATTGTAAAACCTATACATTTGTCATACAAGGCTCAGTCGCGGAATCTAAAAAATAATGTTCTATGGTCAGATAATCCAGTATACAAGAATATTAATAATTAAATTAAATTAATATTAAACATTATTAATGAGATAACTCAGTATGTTAAGATATAAAATATAATTTTATTACATTTAGTTAGAATTAAATTAAAACAGATAATACTTTTTGTAAATTAATTATTGAGTACAATAAAAAAGGACATAATTTCATGAACTTAAACAAAAATTTATTATTTGCATTAGTCATTAAGTAAAAATTTTCTTTTGACATTTAAAAAAAATTGTATTAAACAATAATAAGGTTTTAAAAAAAAAAATAATACATCAAAATTGGTATACATTATAATTATAATAATAACCTAAATATAAATTAAATATATAATATACTGTTGGTATAGATGTTTGTTAGAATATTTAATAATTATATAAGTACCATATAAAATATTTATCATTAGTAACTTAAAAAATCACCAATATAATTTTTATATTGTGTATATATATATATATATATATATATATAAGTTTTCCAGCATAAAATTAATTTTTTTTTTTTTAATAGCAATAAATAAAAATATTCATCTATCATTAATTATAAAAATTCTAAATACATACAAATATATAAATATATAAATTTTACATCGGTACAATATATCCTGACTACCTTTAATGATTAATTTCTTGTGTTAATAAATTTAAGGTCATGTATAAATTTATTAAATGTTTAAGATTATACAAGTTATAAAATACAAATGTAAAAAAATATAAATATATTTATAGATATTTTCTGGTAGGCAAGAATACCCAACTGATATGGTTGAATGGAAGACAAAATACGCAATCAAATTTAAAAATTAACGTTTTCCAATTGTATGAACTTGAAAACCAATCTTGGCCAAGGTTTCATGGTTCAAAATCTTGCGACCATCAAAAATAAATGCTGGTTTTATCATATGCTTATAAATTTCTTCGTAATCCAAGTTCTAGAATATAATAATATATTATTTGAAAACAAATCTACATAGAGTAGTGTACGCTTAACAGATAATAATAAATATTTCTATAAAATATGTTCCATAACAAATGAATGATCATTTTACATTTTAGAAATGTCATGTGTTATTCTCCGAGTAACCAATAATCAGAATATACAATTACGCGATTTACAAATGTCGAATCCTAAATTTAAAATAGATACCTAAGTAATTAAGTTTAACATAATGGGTATAAAGTGTAATTTAATGATGTATAAATGAAAATAATGGACTTTTTAGATTAAGAAAAAAAGTAGTCTATTTGTATGATAAAATCATAATAAAATGGAGTGAGTACATATACGTTTAGACTATATATACGTATATATATGTACGTATGTTGTTACCTAAGTGGAATTAATTAGATCAATTAATTATAAATAATATAATTTTATCGAAAGAAATTACCACAAATTCGTCCCATTCAGTGCATATTACAATGGCGTGTGTCGATTTTGAAGCTCTGTACGGATTATCGTGAATTTCGATGGAGTTAATAACATTTTCTGGATTATCAGTAACATATGGATGCGTGAGGTCTGTTTTGATTTGTTCTGGTTCCACCTAAGACAACAATTTATTTTAATAAACATATTATGCACCTCACAGATTATCCGATAAACGATACTTGAGTATTTTGTTACAATATTATGCTATTAAACTTATTTAAAAACAAGTTCATTTAATAATTTTTAAATTAAATATATATTTTAAAATTTTTGAAATTATTTGTTATACATTTTCTTTATTACCTAATAATTATTATTATACTAATTTATAATTGTGATTTGTAGATGGCTGATACAAACTACTCTATTCTATAATTATAATTAAAAACTTTCCAAGATTTTGAACAAGCCTCAGTCGCTTTTGTAGAAATGTTCAAATCTGCGATTTAACTGCCCTCGCCTTATAAGTAACAACAATTCCGCAATATCAAACATTGTTCTGGATAGATATTTACTCTCGCACCAGTCACACCACACCAATGAATTTTTAAGGTAAAAAATAAAATGCTCGTGCTAAATGACAACATACACAGGTTATTTCAAGGATAAGCGGATTCTTAATAATCGAATCATCAAACTTTTAAGTCATAAAAATTAATTCTTCGGTAATAAAATTTCTTAATTAAATCTAACAAACACTCACTTTGAAAAGCAACCAAAAATATCCTTTATCACATCGAATTCGTTCCTCCGTCACACCGATAACTCAAAAATCGATCAACGTAGTAAAATCAACGTTTTTGCCGAACATCATGTTACAATGATTAAACCAAATAATATTTGAACAAACTTCCAACACTGCCAAAATTAATAAGTTTAATAATACTTATACACAAACTAGGCAAACCCTTCTGAAATCTTTTCTTTCTACCATTCTATAAGCCTTCTCCCAGTCGTAAACAAAATAATCAAAAAATTACTTCTAAAAATTTTTTTAAAAATTACCGCAGAAAAAAAAATTATCCCTGATTTTCAATTCGGACAAAACACTTCACAATCACTAATTTCACATAGTTGATGATCATTGATCATACATCGCTAGCATTCGAAAACAAAAAGTTTGCATTGGTATTTTTCTTGATATCGAGGAAATTTTTAATCGATTTTGGCATTCTGTCCTACTTTTTAAACTTAAATCGTTCTTGCCCACTTCGTATTACCTACTAATAAAATCCTATCTAAACCAAAAAATATTTGTCATAAAAATTGACTTCTCCTTTTCTAACTCTCAAGTAGTAACTACAGGTGTACCTCAAGGCAGTGATATAGCCTCTTTCCTATTCAATATATTTACCAATTACTTACCTTTAAACAAAAACATTTTATTGGATATATTTGCAGATAACATTGCTATTTTTATTATCGAAAAGGATTCTATCCTGCGAGCAGTCCAAAAAAATCTGTGTTGACACCCGGTTTCATAATTGGAAAATTCAAGTAAAATACTCTCAAATTACTTTCACCACACGCCTTTTTGGGATGATTCCTCCCCAATCTTTATTAATAATACCCAAATATCGTTTTCTACACAAACTACATATCTAGGTCCTGATTTTAAGTACTTGAAAAACGTCTCACTTTCTTAGGCCATTATTCCACTCTAGGGCTTTTCTAAGACCCATGTGGTATTATGGTACTCAACCGTTCAACGCCAAGACGATATAGAAATTCCAATCTATACGCCTTCAATTAATTACCAGAAGCTCCTTGGTACATCACTAATGACTCACTACATAAAGACATTAACATTCCAATTTTAAATAAATTACCTACATTTACCTTTAAAAAAAACACATAAGACTTTCAGTACTCATACAAATCCTATTATCATTCTTCATCTTTCATCCAAACAAATTACAGGTAACCCACAGAGGCAGCTTAAAAAAAACTATTGTAAGGACCTACTCTTTCCCTAAAAACATTATCTACGAGATACTGCTAATGGGCGTTGTCCTCTTTCCGTCATTTAAATATTATTTAACATAGAAATACAGATTGTAAATAAATAAAAAAAATTATAATTAAACATGAATTGAAATAAGTGAAATTTTAATAAAATTTAAGCATACATAGTTTTTTAGGAGTATAGATCCACTTCAAATATAAATAATAATAAGGTAATCATATATTCTGTGAACAATGAAAATATTTATAACCGTAAGTATTTTACATTGGTAGTTAGAAAAAAAACTATAAAATTATCGTCCTCGTCAACTGTTGTTTTTTCCTTTTATAGAATTTCACTCTACACAATTATTGTTCTTTCAACTCACCTTCGGATCATATATATTAAGTTTGGCTCCTTCATCGAGTAATGTCTTAGCAACGTGTATTGCAGGTGACTCACGAGTATCACCTGTGTCTTTTTTAAATGCAAATCCAAACATTGTTATTTTTTTATTAGTAACCGTATTAAACAGTGATTCAATAATTTTATTTGAAAATCGAGATTTTTGATAAACATTCATGTCTAATACCTGTAAATTGAAATAAATTATTTTAATTTTATTTATTCTAATAAAATTAATTAACTTATAAATAAAACAATTATTACTTGTTGCCAATAAACAGCTACTTGTGGAAGATTTAAGCATTCACATATATAAACTAAATTAAGTAAATCTTTTTGAAAACAACTGCCTCCGAAACCTTTAAACATATTTATATTTTCAGGTAAAATGTATCCAATAATTCAAAACAAATTTTTAAGTTTTCAAATAAAATACTAAGAAACAAAAATTCACACAAATAGTATTTACCAACTGATGCTTGTAAAAATTTGGGCCCAATTCTGGAATCAAGACCTATACCTTTAGCCACTTCACTGACATCTGCCCCAGTCGCTTCACATATTACAGACATTGAATTAATACTAGAAATCCGCTGTGCAAGAAATGCATTAGCCGCCTTTGAACATAAAAAAAAGTTGGTAATTATTAATATTATCATATTATATATTTATACCACAAATAAAACACGATTTGAATTTACTAGTTTGGTTAGTTCCGAAGACCAAGTGTTTGTCCTGAGGATTTTTGTTTGGGGTATCCAGTTCAAATAGACTTTACTGAGCTCCTTAAAAGCCCATAGGCCATCGGCGGTCTCTTCGTGTCCTATAAGAACTCTATCTGCGTTTAATAGGTTGTCAACAGCTACGCCTTCAGATAAGAACTCGGGGTTAGATAATACCTATATTAACAAACGTACAGTTATATTGAACAGTTACAAATTTCATTGTGTTGTATTTAAATTTCAGATCGACAATATAAAGCATCTTGATAGTGGATAAACGAATATATTAAATCACCTATTAAATATATTTAAATATAATGTATACATTAACTTACTTGAAATTTTACATTCGGCTTATGGTTAGCACTTAAAATCTTTAATATGCTTTCCGCTGCACGTACTGGCACTGTACTTTTTTCCACTACAATTTTATCACTAGTTGAAACTTGGGCAATAATCCTAGCACAGTTTTCAACGTATGTTAAGTCGGCAGCACGTCCCTATATAATTAATAATTAAAGGTAAATATCAAATTATGTTCAGTTTTTTTACAATTATTGATATCTATCTTTACTTTTATAACAAAAACTTATAAAAATAAATTATTATTTTTATTAATTTTAATTAATACTTTAAATTTATAGTTAATATATACAGGTAAAATTTAAGAAATTCAATAAGCATGACAAATCATTTTTTATTATATATAAATTTTAAATTGCCTAGTCATTTTCTAATGTATCTACCACTTTTTTGCTTAATAATTATGTAAAAAAGAATACGATATATTGAAACTAGATTTTAAATTTATAATAAAATATTCATACTTAATTTATATATTAATATACTTTTAATATATGTAACATATTTACATTAAAATTAAAATCAATTTTATTACTTATTAGCATATTCAAATTCAAATTAAACTTGAGTTGAGATTATAAATAATTTTTCATTTAATTTGCTGACGATCGTTTTTACTCTATAGGACTATAGACTATAAATCTAAAAGGAATAAAGTAATCACTAATCACATTCTCGATTTCAATACATCATTAAAATTTACATTTCATTATCTTATAATCAAAAAGTGCCTACAGTAAATTTATTTTAGGTACTTTATATGTAAATTTAAATTTTATCAATAGATGTTATACATCCATTATATTTTTTATTATTTGATGGTATAATTTTTTATCAAAAACGATCCAACAAAGGAAAGGCTTGTTGGATACTCATTGGCTGCGTTAAGTGTGTATTATAATTATTACTTATCAGTTATTTTGACACTTGTTTTTTATTGTTTTCAAAAATATAATATTATGTAATTAAAGTAAAAAATAGTCTTTCCAAAATCAGTAGTTGTGTAAAATTCTGCAAAAAATTCAAAAATAATTGATAAAGTTACATAATATACCTAGATAATAAAGACGAAACTATAATGTATGATTACATTTTTTTACGACTCTGTATAAAAATGATTCATTCTTTAACTCAAAGGGTGACTTCCAGTAGTAAATTTTATAATTGCTATAATTACCATAACTCTAAAAGTAACTATTTTTCAAAAAAAAAAAAAAAATCAAGCTAAATAAAACTGAAATATTTTACAATATCAGTTTATAACATGATTAGGATATTCTATTATTGCAATTATTCAAATTTGAATGATCGTAGGTACTTAAAATTTACACAAATACTTTTTACGCATAATTTATCTATATAAACCCATTACATATACGAGTTTATATTTATATATTATGTATTATAATATTACCATCTTCTAGAAATAATATAATTTTAAAAATATTTTCATTTTTGGATTTTTGAGTAATTTATAAATCTTTTATTTTTTTTTTTATGTCATTATTTTTTTTCTCAGAAATTAAATTTGGCAGTTGAATATATTATTTCTTAAGCGTTTATCATGCAGTTAAATAATATAAAAATATTAAAAATACACGTTTAACAATTTATTTGATAAGCATTTAACTTAAAACTATGTCAATAGCTTATTTAAAATCTAAAACGATTTCCCTCATTATTGTTATTTTATTATTATTCGAAAATTATTAATGAAATAGTAACTAAACATTTAACCTATTGTTACTTTAATTATCATTTTATATACAAAAATATTTGTGTATATTTAACTAAATGTTGTCTCTTTTTTGTGAAAACTGATAACTTTTTTTTCTCAAAAAGTTTAAAATTTAAATTTAAAATTCATCATAATTATTTTATTACTGCATTTTAAAAATATTAAAAATACATAGGTACAATTCTTTTTAAAACATTTAGTGTCCAGATTTTTATGAACTCAAAAAAGTACTTCGAAAAAAAATAACTACTTTTTTGATTATTATGTTACAATTCAAAACATAAATCTTAGGAATTTGCAGATTTTCAATCACATACATAATCATTTTCTGTTTACAATTATATTTTAAAAATATATAAATTAATTTTAAGCTTTTTATACCACAAACTTTTTATTTCAATCTACGATTGAGGTACTAACTTATAAGTTAATCATAATATATTAAATATTAATACATAGTTTTAAACGATATTTTTATTAATTCAACTGTTCAATATTTTGTACACTAATGTTACTAAAATAAAATCATTCACTAATAATAATACACATAAATATGGATTATAAAAAATCCTAACATCCTAGAGGCTGATACACTGTATCGGTACAAAATCTTTTTTAAATCATTGAATTCAAATTTATATATATTCAATACTATAACTGACACGTTGGTAAAACTTTTATAATACAGCAGATTATACACTTAGACCTATTTGTATTTTTACTGATAAATATACACGTTACTTACTTTGCCTACTCCAAATGTCTTTGTAGGAGTATTTACAGATATAAAAATTAAATCTGCTTCTTGGATTGATTCTTCGATGTTTGTAGAAAAAAACAAATTTACATTTCTTTGTTTCTTTACAATTTGATCCAGTCCGGGCTAAAAATGAAATTATTAAGAGTATAAATAAAAAAAATGTAAAATATAACTTGATATTTTAAATCACTTCATAGATGGGCAATTTTTCTGAGTTCCACTGAGATATACGTTGAGCACTTATATCTACAACCGTGACTTTTATATGTGGACACTGCATAGCTATTACACTGCATGTTGGCCCACCAACATATCCAGCACCTATACAGCATATTTTTGTGACCGCCATACTCTAACAATTTATGTCAACCTGTTAAACTTTAAACAATTGCCTTAAATTAAGACACGAACGTCACTTTTCATAAATAATTAATATAATAAAATATTTAAAAAGAAAAGAAAATAATAACAATAAAATGAAACTTAAAAAATTTAAAAATTGTTTTAATTTTTCATTTGTGCAATATGGTATGTTATATTACATAGATATTGTTTGTTTAGACTGAAATAATGTCGAAGCATTTTCCAGTTTTGGTACATTTAATATTTTTAAATAGTCACCTGTGTACACCAACCATAATGTCAGCCTTTATAATTTATTGAGTTATTATAATATATTTCATAAATAAAAATTTCAAAATCGTAAATGAGGTTTTTATACAAATATTTTACTTATTTACTATTTCGTTTGCTTGATACATGCGTGATAGTATGATATACATTTTATAATGAAGGTAATTTAAAAGTATAAATAAATCAAAGGTTGCATTTTCTTGTCATCACCCTTCAGAAAACTGTAACTAAATTGTGTGTTAATAAATTAAAAATTAAAAATTATTTAATTATGTTTTCTGATTGTTTACAAATCTAGTATTTTTTGTTTAACGTAGTAAACATCGAGCGTTTTATGTTGTAAGATACCTAACCTATAACTTATCTCATTTAAACCTCAATTTTAAGTTGATTCGACATTTGTTTTTTAATAAGCAATATATGAACACAAAATATAAATAAACGTAATAATTTATAACCTTAAAGATGTAATATAAAAAATAGTTCCTAGAAGTTCACATTTAAAAAAAAAAACAGATGAATAGGGTTACGAAAATTTGATATTTTTAAACTAATTAATTATTATTTAAAGATTCTATATTGCATTTTTTATTATTGTTCAATATTATATAAGACTTAAGTAACTGAGTCGACAGCTAATACTTGTAGATTGATTTTTTAAAATACTTATTAGATAACTCGTCAAGTATACATCCTCGTCAGTTGACATGTGTCGCTATGTGGATTTACACAATATACTACAAAACTGTATTAATAATTTAATTTTATTTATACAATATATCAGTGGTTCTATAATATCTACTGTCGTGCAGCAACAACGTACCTATGTATTATATATATATATTATATAAATCTGTACGGAAATGAAAATAGATAAAATAATTAAATGTTTTAGTTTATAAATTATTAGTGATTACTTATTAGTATTTTGTATCACTTATGCTATAAAATTATGTCGCTTATTATTTCTATTATAATGTAGTATATAAGACAAGTAGAAAATTATATGTAATTATTAGAACTTTCTAGAAGAGCATACTAAATAATTTATGAGTAGGTATACTTATACTTTTATAAAAATAATATTTACTTACATGAATTCTAAATATGATTAATCATGACGAATATACATTTAAAAATTTTCAGAAAAATAATGATGATGCAATTTATTAATTAAATAATAATTATTTATAAAAATAAACACGACCTAAACAAATTTAGTTATCTATAAAGACGTTAGCATTAAATGTTTACTAAACACTATTTTTGTAAATCAGATACAAAGCATGTACGATTATGATACATAATATATTATATATATATTGTACATAACGTAAAGCTTGAAAATTACAAAAGGTAAAATGAATAAAATATGCATGCGAGTATATTATAGGTATAACTGTATAAGGTACACATGAAAATTAGTTACACATTAGCAGATAAATCTATAAAATATTTTGTTTTTATAGTAATAACTATGATATTAAGTAATGAAATAGTAGGAATAGTGATTGTCGGTTGAACTAAAATAAATTTTACGTTATGGCGTATATTATTAGTGCGTCAAATCATAACAAAAACTCATCACGTCATTATCAAAAGGTTTTGTTATACTGGAAAAATAGCTCTGTTTGTTTGTTTGTTTATAGAAACGTTTAGAAAACAAAAATACTTATATTTATAATTGAGTATAAAATACATAGATAATGCAAGAAAATTTTTTAAAAAATATTAAATATTCATAAAAAATAAAAACGTATAAAAATTAAGAAATAGGTAGGTAAATGCATTTTTTTTTCCTAAATTTTTTAAAATTGGAAATAATATTTTTTCAACATTCATTTTTATTAAAAGCTTCGTGAAATGTATTTTTACAGTAAGTGTACGTGTTGTAGGTATTTAATAACTTAAGTTTATACTTGAATGAAAAGATCTTCCAATGAAGGCACTTTAGCGTAAGTGAATGACAATAATATGAATTTAAAAGTATAGAATAGATTTCTAACTTAGTCTTCTTTAAATCGAGAATATGTAGAAAAATATATAACTCCTATTATAACTTTCAACTTCCGAACTCTATATAATATAACAATATAACACACAGAAATTTATTAATTTTTTTATACAAGAAATTTTCATTTACATATATTTCAATAATCAAAATATCACCTAGAACACAAGCATTGCAACAATGTACTTTTAAATTGTATGCTATAAAAAAATCACAACATAATATAATGATAAATGCCATATTATACACTGTTATTTATTTATTTATAAATTAGTATTATAAGTGCATAAATCAGTCTGGATTTATTTGTCAATAAGTGTACACGTCAATTTGTTCGCGTCCTGTTCTCTACAGTCACAGGCGATTTTGTCTACTCGATATTCACCAAATTAATTCCGCGGCTCACACATACGTTTGTTATGAAACTAGCAGAAAACAAGCTAAAAAAATACCTTAACAATAAAATTCAAAACATTATTGATTTATTCTCTACGTCTATTTGTCCAAGATCAGATGATAAAATACTAAATAAAACTTTCAAGTTTCTAAACCGTAAGGTACACCATTTTTTACCAGTCGATAAAAATGCATTGTTTTTCAATAGTAATACCGTTATCTATGAAAAACAATTTAAAAATTTTAAGACTTTTGCAATTTTAAAAATATTATCCAATATCTGAAACAGTGGATTTGATCGTTGCTGTATGCCTTCTTGTAGTGGCCGCAACATATTATATTATGATGGGGTATGTATAGACATGTGAGTAATCCGGTAATATGATAACAGGGCTCAGAAAATAAATGTTCGTAGTACTTAACATTTATAAAGAATATAGTTTCATACATGCATTATTACAGAATGTGTATAATAGCATGGTATATGTAGGATGAGTGGTATAATAGATAGCCGGCAGGATTTAGTTTACAACAAATTTTTTGGGATTTCATCGTCCTCATTGCCACTAATTTAAATGAAAGAGATTCCCCATATCAAATATTTTGTCCATGCAGTTCACGCCTGTCAAAGATTGTAATTAAGAATTTACATTATTTAACGCTTAGCTTTAGTATTTTAGATAATCCAACTCAACTTAACCATACAACTATATATGCATGTTACAAATATTTAGAAAAAATAATGCCATTGCTGTTTTTTTATGAACCTAAACACAAAAGTAACAATGTTGTTATTAATACTTCAAAACTTTTATTCTATTTTTTGTTTCAATAGAAAATCACTCAAAACAAACTATGTTCTTCAATGTAACTGCCTACTGGCTCGTATATATTAATCGTCAAAACCTCGATGCGTCAAGTGTTGGATAAGAGCACTTGTACAACTAAGCTCAGGGGTCCACATAACATCGAGTAGTACATTAAAGATGAACTATGTATAAATACGCTCACCTCGAACGCTAAGCGATAAAAAAAAAATGGTAAAATATCTTTCTTCCTTTTTTTTTGCCTCTTAACCTTGACTCATGAGCATGCTTAGGAACCCCTGAGATACTATCTACTGTAATTAAATATAAACCGATTTCTCAGCTGTACTTATAAAATAATACTATAAATAAATCAATTAATTAAACAACTAACGTTCATATTAAATTAAATATGTTTACATTCAACTATAAATATTTTTTTATATACTATTATAACTTTCATGCAGACAAGGTAAATGTATGTATAATAAGTTTATAAATGTATAATTTACCCTCAAGACGTTTAATGCCTTTTGAATGAATAGCTTTTAATTAAATAAATAATATATCATATAATTTTATTATAGTAATGATGACTATTAGAAAACATTAATAGGTAGGTACTATATACTACATTGTACTATATTATATTATTGATGCCAGATGGAATTGTCATACATTAATCGATAAATTATACAAACTGTATAAAATATAATATAAAGGTAAAGGAAGAAAAAGTATTATTTTTACAACAATATTTTATCATAACAAAATAAAACCTAATATTTTTTCTATTTTATTTGATTTAATAAAACTTATTAAATTAATTAACATTACAGATAAATGTATAAGTGTTAATGTTAGGTAATGAAAAATTAAATATTAATTTTAAATAACAATATTTGTGGGCATTTAGGGTAAGAAAGAATTATAATAATTGAAGATTACCTCTAAATTCAACTAAAAAACTAATTATACGTGTCTTATAGACATAAATATTTATAAAAATTCCATTCTAATAAATATAAATACTTAAACCGTGAAAACTGAAATAATTTTTAAAAAGTAAGGCTTATGGTAAAACTATTCGTGGATATGAATAAAATCTACACGAATAATTGATATTATAGTGAAATTATAATAGGTATAAGTAGTATAAATGATTACGAATTATGAAGGTATAGGTATTACATTTTTTAAATGATTTCTGATTTCAAAAATGTTATAAACGTTTGGTAGATTATTGTACTTATTTGTTAATCGATTATAAATTAAATTAATTTAAAAATTAAAATAAATATTTATCAGCAGTCAAGTACAATTTGATCTGTGGCTTAATAAAAATGTACTTGTTAAATAGTTTTAGTGACTTAATTAAATTAATTAGTTAGTATCACAATTTCTAGACTCAGTAGACTCCCGACTACTTAGATAATATACCATAAAGAAAACTACAGACCTATTTATTTATGAACTTTTCTGATCTTCCGATAGATGATCACAGGCCACAGCTGATATACAGTGTAGCTAATGTTTATGTACAAACTGCATACTATAATAGTGTCTTTAATGGAATGTGAAGAATGAAGAACTACAAAAATATATAAATGTACAAGTTTTAGATGTAGTAGAGTTACAGAAGTATACAACCACATAATGATATTTATTATTATTATTATTATTATTACTACTTATTACGTATTTTAAATTTAAATTAACTTTTTGATCAACATTTTCGTTCATTTGGTTCACGTTGAGCAATTCTAAATCTTTAAATGAAAAATACTATATAATATACTGTAGCCTGAAGGTATTAACCAAAATATTTGTATTACTAAATTTTAACAAATTTCTAGGTAACCATCATACTTATACTACGATTATGCGATATATTTTAGAAGGTACGTGTTTATTTACATATTAAAGAAAAAAATAATGATTTCTATGAAATATAAATATGCATGTTTTATATTTTTCATACAGCAGTAAATTTGTATGTATTATTATGGTTATAAATACAACTAAGTACAGTTTATTTTAGATACCAGTTGATTTTCAGTTAATACAAATTATTTGCATTAAATTATGTAAAACGCGATCCTGACAAATACAACTGGATCATAATATATAGGTACTATTGTGTAAAATCTTAATATACCTAAATAAGAGTAATAATAATATACCGGTATTTTATTATTATAAAAAAGTGTGCTATGTTTAAAAAAGTTTGAAAACTACTGATTTAGAAAAATTGGACGAGTTGCTTAAAAATGTATATGATAAAATATTATAATGCTAAGGTTTTAAAATAGCTATTTTATAATAGGTTTATATTCCAGAAATTTTCAATAATAAGAATCCACTATAAACATTATGTACCTAGGTATATAATTATTTACTACAATCACTTTTCCTGTATTTCTATTACAAGACGTCTTCTATTATCGTGAACGATATATTTCTATTCCTAATAATGGTTTATACTTTATACTTTTATAGTAATATAAACATATATATTATATTTCATATTATACGTTACAGGTGTATAAATAAATAATATTATAATAAAATTGTATTGTACAATTATACATATAGGTATAATATGTTAATTACCAACTACTTCCTGATAAATGACAAATGACAATAATGTATGTACTTAAAAGTATTTACAATGTAGAAAATCCGAGCGTTAAATTCAAAAATCATAATAAGGCTTCGTGAATAAACAGCGAAACTAAATATAAAATACATTTTTTGCAAAGTTTTTGTTATGTTGTGCTATTATAATGTATTAAAAACTAGTTGTACATCAACGTTATTGATTCATAATGAATATAATGACACATCTTAAGGTACTTAATCACCCGAGGAATGCAAACGTTTTTAATAATATATTTAGTTATTTCTATCGGTTTTAAGAAAACATCGAAAACCGTGGTGTCATCGTCGTCAAACCAGCACACCGGTTGGTGAATAATTTTTATGACGTAATGATAATTTAGTAACACGATCCATTCGTCGAGCGAACTGGACGAGCTAGATCCGCGTGAACGGGACAAAAATCACACGTGTAACCGTGTAGACTGTATAGGATTATAACGCATCGAAATACACGCATATTATGTATAATTTATCTTAATATAAACTCTCGTGGATTGTGATGAATCACGTTACAGCAATAAATTGAATATTATAAATAAATGATTATTTTGACTAACGCCACTGCTCAAAAAATCGCTATATATATGTATAATATAATATATATATATATAGGTATCACATACTATTATATTGTGCTTTAATCTTTATAATATTTACAAGTGCCTTTACTTGTAACAAGCTGATGCCTATTCATAAGTGCGTGGCATTACACATGCGACATACTCGTAATATCAAGACCTAGACAACACTCGATATTCTGTATTATGCTGTTAAGTGGTTCATGGCCCACACAACTGAGTCAATAACAACGGTGCTCGTGGGCATCTCGTACAAACTCCCGAGTCTTGCAACATTCATAATTTTGCCTTTTTTGAAATTTGGAGAATTCACTGAAAAGTCAACACTCGGCGTTAGTGTTGTGGTGAGCAATTTTAATTAAAGGGGCTAAATATATTTTATCCATCCACCCGTTCACCAATACCCACTCACAACTGATGTATACCAAAATTGTCATATGTAAAACATACAAATTGGGTAAAAAAAAATATATTTTTATCAGGTAGAAATTTGTGTTTCTCTACAAAATTAAAAGTACCAAAATACTATTTATATAAATTTTGTTTTGAAATGCATCAATAACGATGTTAGCATACCTTATAAAAACTAAACATTTTTAAATTTTGACGTGACATTTTGAAATGAAATCAAATAATAATTCGATTTTTAATTTATTATTATTAGCCATTAAGTAGACAGTATAATAATATAGTTTAAAAAATAAGGATTTAAAGTATGTATACACAAAGATTTTAATTTAATATCACCTTTAACAATATTTAAGCGAAAGCTTCTTTAACACGTCTCGTGTAAAAAAAACAAAAATATATAAGCTCTTGGTTTATAATATTTAAGTGTATATACATTCCACACATTACACAAATAACAACTGATTAAAAATATAATAATAATAAATAAAATAATAATGTGAAAGTATGCAGATAAAATTTTAGTATATATTATTATTTAAAGTTTAAACAACAATTATTTTTGTAGCACTAAAGATGTAAAAGCATATTTATTCAAAATTTCTTTTGGATTCAAAAATTAGAACTATATCCTCTTCACAGAATAATAATATGAGACTTATAAATCTGCTTTGCTTTATAATGGATCTAAGTCGAGTTTTAATTAATTTTACCTCTGAGAACGATCTCTCACTTACAACAGATGTTGTAGGAATAGTGCATAAATATTTATATGCTAAAATTCTTAAGTTCATAATTTTGAAACAATACATTTTACAAATCTACCATTACAACCACTATCTTCAAAACCCTACGGAACCGCGGCTCAAAAAAAACTTCCTCACTACGCCACTGTTCGATGTGGTATAAATGTGTATTAGATACGTATTTTTTACTAGGATCGTTAATTCTCTACAGCAGCAGGTACACGTAAGTAATTCTCTCGTCTTGTAGCAACAGAACCTGCACCATTTCCGAACGACGTACTTACTATACTTATTACTTATCATCGAGGTACTCGTGTACTACGTTACTGTACAAACATCGATTAGAACAGTTATTTAAAACCAGAACTTAAGTGGTAGTTTTTATAATCAATTTAGAACCTGAGCCTAAATAATAAATGTCTAAATTATTATGTAACCTACATAATATACATACACAACAACGAGCAACTGCCGCTGAACAGGGCGAAATAATACCAAAAACAATAGACTACATCTGAGGACGATTTTCGTGGGGATTTCGCCACGGGAGGGTAACAAAAACGTTTGACCGCGACAAGTCTATCATAATAACACACCCAGAACGGTATAAGGCACCTATGGCCGGTGTATCGGTCGTATTCACACACGTGCGTAAGGTGTAACTCGAAACAATATCCGGACGGCATACACGCGTACTATAAATAACATTACACTCGGGCAAATCATTACCGTGGGACGTGGATGATGATATCCACTCGTCTTGGACCGGCGGCGTGATAACGTCGCTGACTGACACACAGTGATAAGCAGCCGGCGTGTAACAACACGGCAGTGCAGCAGGGCAGACCGTCGTGCGTTCTATCGATCTATACGGCGTGCGCGCGCGCACACACACACACACACACACACACACGCACACACAAACACTCGATAAACACGATCGGACACGGTAACACGAACGGATCAACGGACACGCACACAGTGGTACGGTCGGCGGCGACACGGTCGTTGCGACTTGCGACGTAGCATACCGAGTCGACGGAGGTACACGAGCTGATCCGGCGGCGGCGGCGGCGGCGGCTGACGTGGCGGAGCGTTGCCCAGGCTACACCGTGTTGATGTTTGTGGTGGGGTGGGAGGGGTCGGTCTTTCGGCCGTTGACGCGTACCGGTCGCCGCCGTCACACTGTCAGTGGCCACGCTGCCCGTGTCGTAAGTCGTAGTCGTCTGGCGTTTTCTCGTGTTTGACTGGAGCGTCTCTAACGCTGTGATATTATTATTATTATTATTATTATTATTATGACGTTATTCTTACTCTGTGGTCATATCTTAAACGGCTTAAACCAATACGAGAAATAGAAAAAAATCACAACTACTATTGCTGTTGCTACCATACGAACAAATAAAATAAATTATAATATATTATGTTACACGCATTTTATTGTTATAACTTGTAACCAGAGCTTGCAAACATTATATTTAACAAAAAAAACGATTGAAATTTGTAAACGTAATTATAACGGAAAACGATAAACATAAATAATCAAATATCGCAAAACGTTATATATATATATAATATATGATATCATTAAAAGAAATAATTTATTTCCAATTATTTAATAGTTATAAATTATAAAATATGTTAAAAATTTTAATTCTAAACAACGATAAACGCAAAAGTTGAATAACGTTTAAATTCTGAGTAACGATAAGCCTAAAATTTGTATAACGTTTTAATTGTAAATAACGAATAACAAAATATTTTTTTTTCAAATGCAAGCCCTGCTTGTAACAGTATTATACGAATCATATTGTACTAGGACCTACGTAGACTGGTTAAGATAATAATTATAATATGATCATCAACGATAATTGCGACGCGACGGTAGTCCAATGCCATAGTGACAAGGATTTCGGTTGATCTGCGTTACGTATTATGCTAATTAATTATACCTACCATGAATCGTGGTATACATTAATGTGCGGCATTTCGACCGTTCACGGTTATTGCCTTTAAGTTCCGGATCAGTGACGCAAACTGCAGGTATTTGGAGATTACACTTGCAACCCCCAACAAACATTGGGGTTTGAAACAAATATATATCTTTCCGTGAATTTTAAATAGCAGAACAAATCATCTAATAGAAGTTATCGTATATTTTAGCGAATTGCAAAAGCAGAATTAAAAATGTAAATAACGGGTCATTAGAAGTTAACGATAATAATAGCTTATAATCACATGGACTATAAGATATAAATTATAAGTATAGGTATATCATTTTCCATTTTTAAAACTATATATTATAAAGCAGCGTTTCTTAGACTGTGTTCCGTGGAGCTTAGGTAATTTTTTCAAAATGTATATAATTATTATTATTTTTAATTTTATTTTGGCATATTTTTTAAATTTTATACCGTAAACACATTGTCATTATCAATATGAAATAATAATAATTTTTATTACAAATAATTCTAAAAAAAAGTAGAGGTTCCACGATGAAAGTGAACATCAAAAAGGGTTCCACGGATGAAAATGTTTAAGAAACGCTGTTATAAAGATACATACATTTATTTTTATATCTTAGTATGTGATGAATATATGGATACATTTTCATTATAGCGTCACAATCACGACTAAATGTTGACCACGTCTTATATTTCGAACGATGTTAATACTAGACGGGTAAAACGTATTGAAACAATTACTGATAACTAATTAGTAATTACACACAAGTTTACCAATAAAGGTACCAAATTTGATAAATTTAATTAGGTTTTTGTGCATGCTCTATAGTCCATATAGTTAATACTAAACTTTAAAGAATCGCAAAATATATATTATGGTAATTAGTAAGGGGTATATTATATTACAAAGAAAAAATTTCGAAAAACTTTGAAAATGTTGGTAAGAAAGGGTTAGAATTAATATATATTTTTAGCTATTTTAAGTGATTTTTATTTTGCGCGGTAAGGAAATTTCTACAAATTTGAAAATTACACTAAGGTAAAGAAATTTCTATACAAATTAATTACTATTAGGTATACCGTACACGTCTTAAATTGATTTTTGCACTAATAATTTAACAGCAAAAATAGTTTAGTAAATTATATCTATTGAATTAAATTAGTTATGATTTTAGGCATGATTCTTTTTAATAAAAGTGTTTATATTTATAATAATTTATATTTAATATTATTATTCATACTTGTAAATTGTTTATTATTTCTATCTGTAATTTTTTTTTTTTATTTTGTTTAATTTCTATATTATTTTAATTGTTATTTTTTAGTATTTTATTGTATTGCTATGAAATATGAAATATGCATGTTTAATGTTTATATTGTTTATAATGTTTATTTTTATTAAATTTTAATACCTCGGGTTTTCACACGAGTTTTCTCAGTGAGGCCCCTTATTCTTATGAGAAATTCTAAATAAATAAAATATTTAATTTAATTTTTAGTGTATTGAACTTGATTTTTATAATATTTCATTTTCATTACTGTAAACTAGCTAGGTATTTCTTGATTTTATTTAAAAATATTTAAAGGTATAAACCCTAAATAATATTATATTATAATGTGTTATGAGTTGTGACTTATGTGAAGTGTAAGTACTATAAATTGTTTTATGAAATATACAACCAATAATAATAATAATTTTGTTATGTATATAACTAAAAGATAAAGACGATTATGGAAATTAAGTTAATTTAACTATTTATAAATTTCTTATGAGAATACAGTATTTAATTATTTTGTAGAAGCAACAATACACATATTACATTATTTTCATACTATATAGGTATTATTTGTATGATTATATGAGGTATTTTTGCACGTTTCAATAGAATTTGTGCGGAAAACGAACGATAGGTGAATACAAATACCATCATTCAGCAGTGTATAACATTATTATAAATTATAATATGTAAATAAATAGGTATACGATGCGCGTCACGCATTATTCCGGAACCCATATATAGAAATATACTCACATTCGGCGTAACACATCAAATTGACTGTGTAAAAAATTACATACATTCATATAGGTACTTACCCATTTTATTGATTAGATATATGAGTTTTTTTTACTTTAAAAAAAAGTTTTAAATTTCTAGATGTCTGTTAAGTAACCGAGTAGGTGTACATATCTACTTATTAATGCGTGTATAGACGTATAAAGTATACGTATATCTCGTGTTGTATTATTGTACTCCTCTAGTGGTTTGTATTATTATATGATATATATTTAATTGTTTAAAATAATATTGTAATTCATAGGTTAGATTAGTGTTTCTCAATCTTTTTACGCTATAGTAACCTTCTTTTTGAATTTTAATTTTTTAGCGACTACGACATGTATATTTTTTTAAATACTCGCATAGATTATTATTAATAATCAATACTATAAGTATACTGTACACTGAATTGTGTTTTATATTTATTGATTTTATTTTTTCATTACTTTATTTTATTATTTGAGTTTTTAATTTTTGTATTGATTTAAATTTTAAATCATACGTTAGTGACCTTAAATAATAAGTTAGCGACCCCTAGGCTGAGAATTACTGGTTTAGATTATACATAGATATAAAAAAAATTCATCGTTTCTCATCTGATACCTTTCTATTGTATTATAATATACACAATGATTCACCGAGCTCACTCACCCTTTTAGACATTTTATCTTTTAATTTTGTACTTGTTAAATTTCTAATTTTTGAAAAAAAATTCTAAATATACCTATTTAAGTAGGTACCATACTTTTAATTAGTTTGATTTTATGTACCGTTTAAAAATAATATAAACATAGTGGCGATACAAACTTTTTTTTCTTCAAATGTGAACCTTACCTTTTGGCTTTTTTACTGTTAAGTGTTAAGCAGATGATTTTAACATTTTGATGTACCTATCTAAATCAAAATTTGTACAAGTAGTTTCCAAGTTACTAAAATGTTTGTACGAAGGATAAATTCCTTATTGGTCTTACATAAAATAGATATAATATTCATTATTCATTGTTATTATTTATTTTATTTTTATTTTGATTGTTGAAACGATGATATATACATGTTACTGATGCGTCATTTATGCCGCACTCTGTGATTTTTACTTAGGTCAGAAAAACACAGGACCGTAGAGTACAAGTATATATATATAAATCATTGATAAAGCTAATCAGTCGAGTTTTGTTCATGAAATAAAGACAACAGTCATCTTTATATTTCTAAGTAACATATTTAATTTGATTTACTATAGGTATAATAACCTACCTTATTATAGATAAATCATAATTTATTCAATCGCTTCAACTCGTACTCCGCTACACCCGTGATCTTCAAAATACTACCCTCAAGAACAAGGTTACTCAGGTGATGGATGTACTGTATAATTATACTAATATTTAGTTATATGAATAAACCTTGTAATACGTTGCTTTAATATCGTTTCTATTGAGTTAGTTTATGAACACAGGTTATAAGTTTCTAGGACCTGTAAAATATAACTTAGAAAACTTTATTTGTATCAATTCAACAACCTGGTCCTTAAGACCGGTTCGTGTAGTGGGAATAGCTAACCAACTACTCCTTAATTGGATAGAATTAGCTATAAATATCGACAGCCACTTGGTTTTAATAAACGGGTAGGTGTGTAGAATTATAAACAACCATTGCTTACTGTAGCTTATTCTAAACAATTATGAACTATTTACAGTATGACTATATTGAATAATAAACTATAATAATAATATGATATGGTTTCGTCATTTGACTGTGATAATTTATGATGAACTACAGATGACAAATAATTAAAAAATGTGGACAGATCATAATACCTATATATTTGTACGAAATTTCTTGGATAAAAAATAATTTCCCTGTTAACCGTCACGAATGACAACGAAATTTGCTCGTCTGGAATGATGATCGCAGCCGCCGTCTTTGTTATTATTTATATTATGATTATCACGTTACCACCCACAAGTAGCAGACGGTAGACGCCAGACGGTAGTCTGAATCCCAGTT